ATATACATATACATATACATATACATATACATATACATATACATATACATATACATATACATATACATATACATATACATATACATATATATACCTACATACATACACACATCTCTCTGTGTGTGTGTGTGTATGTGTAAAGATGTGTAAACATAGAAGTGAAATAATATATACATGTACAGGTATGATGACATAATAATGTTGATATAATGACTGTAAGGTATTGTAGAAGGAAAAAAATAATAAAAAAAACTGCTAAAAAAATAAAAATAAAGGAGAAGATGGCTGCAGGCCTGACAGCAGAAATAGAACAATACTGAAAAGCAATGGTGTGTGAACATTGATTCCAAATACCTGATCATTATCTTAAAATATTATTTTTTCTTTCAGTTTCTGACGATTAAGACCATGATTTATCATTGTTGCTTGTACTGTATACTGAGATCTACAGCTACAGTTCAATACATTCAGCATATTAATTAGCTTAGTCTTTTTTTAACTGAGCCAAATGCTCGTGAAAAATCTTCAAATCCCAGAAAATAATGTCCAGAATGCCAACCTCATTATAATATGGATTGTTTCCACGTCTAATTCTGGTCCGGAATGTGTAATCTCCAATATTGACTTTCACCACTGGTTTGACATTGTTTTCTTGCAGTTGTCGACATTCAATGATGATAACTCGCACCTACAAGGGAGAAATGGGCAGTCAGTTCCATCCTGCAAAAATTCATGTTGTGTGTGTGTGTGTGTGTTTGTTTGTTTATTTATTAGTTTGCCAAACATGTACAAGATAACAGGTATGTATGAACATGGACATGAACAAAGGCAATGAATACAAAAAATGGGGACAATAGGACAGGGATGGAAGGCACGGTGGTGCGCTTCGTGGCACGACAAAACCGCGCTCGACTAAAGCGCGCCCGATTAAATCGTGTCGCTGACGTCATCAACAGGGCGACAACAGCAAGCGCAAAGAAAGAAGATCGCTTTAAATAGCGCTTTGAAAGCAAGCCAATTCAAGTTAAGGTAAGGGTTAGGTTTAGGGTTAGGTTAAGGGTTAGGGTTAGGTTTAGGGTTAG